CAGGCAAGCAGCACATGCATTACAGGGGCCAGCTGGAGGCACCAAGTCCCAGCCCAGGGCGAGGACCAGGACCACCCTCATGCCCTCGGCACCCCCCGCTACCCCAGTAAGGCTTGCTAACGAGACGCAGGCTCCGAACTTCCAGCTGCTCTGCTCTCCAGCCCTCAGGACACCAAGCATCCTCAAAAACAACAGAGGAGGAGAGAAGACAGTAGCCATATAGCTCCCAGCTCAGCCCAAATGCAAGCTCATCTGACAGAAAGATGTTGCCTCTGTGAGGTCTCCCAGCTGCCAAGAACATCTGGACCCAGCAGGAGCCAGCGGGGCACTCTCTGCGGAGGCAAGACCCTGCCAGGGACAAATCCTGAATTTGGCTACCCCATCCTCAAGCACGGGAGCCCCAGCCTTAGCCAGAGGCAGGCTGCTACATCGTCCGAGCTCCTGTGCAGGCCTTCCCCCCAAAATGGCCAGGGCCCACCTTGGGGGCGAGGAGAAGCTCTTCCGCTGTTAAGACACTCAGCAAAGAGACAGCAAAAAAACGACAGTCGATTGCCCATTGTATACAGCCACTCTTCTTTGTCTAGCACATTAGGTACACATACTTTAGCCTGAAAAAGTCACTCTCGCAAAAAAAACCAATTCCGGATAAACGACATTTGACTAATGATAAATGACAAAGAGCAGAGCAAAACAGCTGTGTCTCTCCTGCTGATGATCAGAACACATTTTTAAACAGATGTTTCTGGTTTTAAATAAATTCTCACTTCATGGATTTTTTTTTTCTGAAGACACAACGTCTACCAGATTATAAATTTTTAGCACTTCATTAAAAAGGACAACTCTGACCGGTAGCATGTAGCCCTCAAGTGATGAGGGCTTTTTTTTAACATACCTGGAAGTAAGTAATAGCAATTAATAGTTTTTTAACCTACCTGGAAGTAATAGTTCCATAACTAATTATATCTCTTTAAAAAACAAAAAAAACCACAAAAAACCCCTTCAAATCAGCACCTGAGAATGACAGTATAATTAAGTTGTAAAATTAATGTCCTCAAGTAAAGCCTGAAAATAAAAATACAGTTTGCTGTTAGTCTGCAATCTATCACTGAAATTCCAAACTACCACCTGCCCAATTATAAATTGACAATTAATGGCAGTTTTCCTGATAAAGGAAGCAGAGTGATGCATTTAACAGTGTCACGGGCTGGAGCTGCCAGAGCTATTTCCTATGATAGGTTATCTTCATCATGCACTTCATTTCCTGCGGCTAAACGTGGTTAAAGGAAAAAGTCACCAAGCAAATGGTGTAGTGGTAAAATCAAATCTGGCTGCTGCAAATAAACCTTAGCAATTTGAAAAGGCCCAAACTACCTCACCTAGCCAGCATCGGGCAGAGGGGAGCAGGGCCCCTCGCAGGGGTCAAGAGGAGCAATAGAAGGTCTTCATGCAGTCTTCCTATCAAATATACATCAGTGTATTTCCCTCAGATCGAATTTTCCACCAACTGAAAACCTGTCCCATTCCTTTCCATGCCATAATAACTCTAACTGTAGTCCTCCTAAATGCTGTAACGAGGGATGGTTGTTTCAAGGCGGGTACATGAAACCTGGCGCTAGGCTGTAGCAAACTCGCTCAGTGTAACTCCATCCTACATAAATCAGATTACTAAACACATGAATAGTGATTTATTTTGCATACACCAGATACACAATATGATTAAATCAAAAACAGATTATCCAGTCTGGCTGACTTCTGCCTTTAGCAGAAAGATTTATCAAGTTACAAAAAAAAAAAAAAAGATACTAAGCAGCACACTGGAATATGGCATAGACAGGGAGGAAACCAAGCCAAAAACTTCTACTCAGCTTTGCAAAGGTGTTTAAGCCCGATTTTCACATGACTGCTATGCATTTGGGAATTAAATTGCCATTACGCTTTCTAAGCTACTAGATGCCCAAGGCCATTTGAAAAAGAGCTCTGCAAACCTTTGTGTCCTTAACTCGGCTGCTGTGCAAAGGGTGGCAGCAGGACTGCCAGTTGCGCACAGCGACTAACCCTGCTCCGTGGCCACGTCCCACGGCGTGGAGTCACCTACCCCAGACCGCTGCCTGACAGCGGCACGAGCCCCTGCCTGGAAGAGCAGCGCTGCAGCGAGCTTCGGCACCCAAACTCAACCAAGTGGCTGAGACCGGGTGCCCTGCACTGAACTTCTCTTTTCTAACAGGGAGTGATCCTTCAGACAGAAAAACATAAACTAGAGGAACCACAGGGCTGCTGAAACTTTTACCAGGCTGCTAGCTTGCCCCTGCTCCAACTGTGCACCAAATGCAAATATGGTTACAATTTATTATTTATTACCCACGTCTCACATCAAAGCGGATGTCTGTTAATGATCCTTGAGTGTTTTTTGGAAGAGGAAGAAAACAACGATGATGCCTACGTGTCCACCAACTTGATGGTGGCAAGAAAAATATACCTGCTTTATGTTTCACCTATGAGTTAATGTGGGTAGATTTTGCTCTCTCTTTTTTTTTTTTTAATTTCCTGTCTGCCAATCGAGCAATCTGGCTGCGAGCTGTTAAAATAGATGCTGCGTCCCACCCCAGACTTGGCTGCATTTTGCTGGCATGCGGAGCAAGCAGCTCCTCCGCGGAGTGCATGCGGCGCACGGGAATTCCTCACGCCGAAGTCTGAAAGCGCAAGTTGTCGTCATGCTCCCGGGTACCACTTAACACCAGCCTCCTAAAATTTCACATTCAGAGATGGATTTGCATGGGAAATTTTGCATTTGTTGGCTTAGAGAAGGAAGAAGGAACTCTTGCTGTGGGAGCAGAGATAAGAAGTGGCCGGCATCACAGCTCTGCTCGTTCTTTATTTAGAATCACACAGTGCTAAAGTGAGCTGGTGAAGGAAGGCCATTAATAAGATGCTCAC